GCACAAAGCCAGTAGACACCAGCGAACACTGCCACCACAAGCTCTCCTCCAAGGGGAACACTGTCCTTACATGGGAGCATATCACAGTTCCTTCATTGGAACTCACTTCCTAACAGCACTGAATATACCCACACCTCAAGGACTCCAGGGATTCAACACCACCTTCTCAAGGGCAATTAGGGATAAGCAATAAACACTGGCCTTACTGTGGTTAAACAGGAAATCTTCAGGAGCATGCACCACTGTACTCAGTCAATAAAGTCCTAGTGTTGCTACATCGTCCAGTGTGACTAACCCCATTTGTCCACAAGGCACATCCAGTCCTTTCGAACAGCAGTGCATAGTCAGACTAGGTGGAGAAAAGTCATTCAGGTTGCCATGAGAAAAAGAGGCATCTATCAGGTCCCACTTTCCAAGCCCTACAAATATCCCCAAGTGCATATTCAGATTCCTTTTTAAATGTGCAAAGCTTCCATTATGACTGGCTCGAACTGAAAGAGAAATTTGGTTCTCAACAGATCCAAAAACAAACAGGGGTCATGAAAGCCAGGCAGACTTGCCCAGAGATGCAGCAGTTTCCTAACACCAGGATAAGCAGGTGGATGGTTTTGATACCCACTGGGAACGTGCCTTTAACCCATCCACAGGAGAAACATCTTTATCATAATGTGACTGGAATGTGGAATGCGTTAAGGGAGTTGGGGTGAATGGCACAAATGAATTTTAAAGGGAAAATGGATTTAGAACAAAGGATGGAGAAAGGAATCAATGAGATGAAGACGGTTGGGAAAAGGCTCATGTAGGCATAGACAGGTTGAGCCAGATGGCCTGTTTCTATGCTGTGGATCTAAGACAAACAGAAAGTGCTTGATGAAACATGTCCTGACCTCAGACAGCACATTCCCTGAAAATGTGCCTACTTTGGACTTCCAGCAATCAACAGAACACAAAAATGAAAACTGTCCTAGTTAATGCTGGCATTTAGAGGCAACTTACTCAGAATACTGGACTGATTGAACACACGCTGAACATGAGAAAATAGGACGAGGAAGAGGACAATCCTTCAAGGGGCTTCTCTGTTATCCATCATTGAGACATTGATTAGGAGAGCGAAGAGGAGCAGTTACCTCAGTTTGCTAGGCACAGGTTCTAAACAAGGCCAAGAGCACACGGGTTCAGTTCCCATTCCTGCTGAGGTAGATTTGGGACCTGCCTCTTCACCTTGGCCAGTATAACATAGGATTAGATTCAGGCTTGGAGACTGGCTGTTGAAGCAGATTTGCCTAAGACCGTTCCAAAATGCCGGTAGCTAAATCAGGATTTCACGATACTCGGGGGCAGGAGGAATTCCTTTATGTTACCTTCAAACTGCTCCTTTGCTGCTGAAATTCTCACCTTCAAATTCACAACTGTGAAACAGAGAGAAGTAAATACTTACATACAGTGCTCTTCATGATCTCAAGATGTCTCAAGACGTCCCAAGGTGAGGAGCAGGTACTTAGCCAAAAATCCAGCCACAAATCTGCACACCGCAACTCCACCACCCCCCCGCTCCAAACAACCAGCAATCTGATAATGACTTCATCTGTTTTGAAGTGATTTTGGAGGAAAAAAATTGAAGCCCCAGGGAGAACCAGCTTTCACGTCACTGAAATAGTGCCTCCTCCCATGACAGCAGGCCAGGCCTCAGTTTCATCTGAAAGGCAACACCTCCAACTGTGCAGCACTCCCTCATTACTACACTGGAAAGTCAGCTGATAGTAAGTGCCCAAGACCCTGCGGTGGGAGGCTTGAACCCAAACATTCTGACTCCAAGGTGAGAATGCTGGCTAGAAACTACATCGTACCAGTTATATTCTACATTAACTCACACTGTAGATTGTCTACTGTGGATTTATTTAGAAAAACCTGCCCCGAGGACATAAGCCACAGAAACTCGCAGGAAGCAAATGACCTCGGATCATTAGCAGCTTGTTTAGCATATGATTAACTTCATGACATGATACTCCACATAAAAAGCATCTGCATATCAAGAGCAAATGGGCGTGGTATGGGGTGGCAGGATTCTTGGTGTGCAATACTGCACTGACGGTTGGCATTTGCCAACCACCTCCCTCTCACCCACAGGCAAACTTGGAACTTTCTGGAAATCTCCACCAGTCGGATTTCCCCTGTAGGCTGTGGCAAGGGATACCAAACATGGTTACTGACAGGTTCCGCATGGGGCAAATCTAAAGGATCCCCTCCTCTATTAGCAAGGGGCTGTCAATCCTAATGTTTTACTTCCTTTTACCCCCTTCCAGCGGAGGTCACTATGGCACATTTAAAATTAGAAGCTCATCCATGGAATCTCCCAGTGCAAAATGTGGCCACTCTGTCCATCGATGAGGGAGGGGGCGTGTGTCAATGGAATGGGGAAACTGCATCAAAATCACTTCCATTCTGTCAATCGTTACTGGTTCTTCTGAAAAGTGGTAGCACACTTGACACTGAATTACATTGTTCCAGGTTCAAGTCCCACTCTAGTTCTAAAGTACAAAAAGCCAAGGCTGAGAGAGAGCTGCACCATCAAAGGCACAGTCTTTTGGATGAGACATTAAACCAAGGGCCCCATTTGCCTGCTTAGACAAATGTAGAAGCTTCAATGACACTAATCTGAAGGGCAGCATGGCGGCTCTTTGGTTATCACTGCTGCCTCACAGTGCCAGGAACCTGGGTTTGATTCCAGCCTTGGGTCACTGTCCGTGTGCGTTAGCACGTTCTCCCCATGTCTGTGTGTGTTCTGGGTGCAGGTTGGGTGGAGTGGGCATGCTAAATTGCCCTTGGGTTCAGGAATGTGCAGGCTATGTGGATTAGCCAATGGAATATGCAGGGTTACAGGGAGAGGGTGGGAGTGGGTGGGATGCTCTTCAGAGGGTCAGTGTGACTCAATGGGCTGAATGGCCTGCTTACACACTGTAGGGACTCTATGATGATTCTAAGTGCAGGGGAGCTTTCCCTGTTGTCCTGATACGTATTCTTCCCTCAAAAATTTACAAGAGTAGATTATCTGGTCATTATCTCAGTGCTGTTGGTGGAAGCTTGCTGTGCACAAATTGGCTGCCCTATTTCATTTCAAATAAGAACTTCACTGACTTCAAAGTGCTTTGACACATCGGGTGGTCACGAAAAGGGATATGACAGGGATTGGAGCCTTTTAAACTAAGGTACAATTTATAATACAAATTTCAAAAACGTAAAAATTTCCAAAAAAGTATTGATATTCTACCGTCTTGCAACCTTGAACTGCCAGGTACAACAGTCAACAAGGGGAGTCAACAGTTATGTGCACTGCACAAAGCTGGGCTGGTGGATGACACTTTGGGTGCAATTTTTAACCTCGCACTAAATTGCAGCAAGTTCTAACTCAAACAATCCGCCAGACCCTGTGGATTTCCCAATGATCTCTTCCAGGTGAGGTCAAACACCCTTGCTGACTTATGGGAGCTCCTGTACTATGATCAACAAAAATGAAGAAGGGTCATTTGGGAAGGCGCTTAAAACAGTGAAAGTTTGTTTGGAACATCAAGGAGTCAAGGGAACACTCCAAATACCTCATTGACCCAGCTCACCAGTCACCAGCTTTCCCGCAAGTGGCAGAGTCAGTAGATCACGTGCAGGTCACCTGTCCCAATATTGTCTCATGTGGCTCAGTGCCACGTCATGTCTGATAACTCTCTTCTGAAGCAATCGACAGCATTTTACTGGGTTAAAGCCAATATACAAGAGCAGATTGTTGTTGTAGCTTCAAGTATGAAAGTGAGTGGAGTCTGTGGGGCTGAGAACTGGTAAGAAAGTGGGGTTAAATGCACCGTCCCCACATTTCATTCCAAGAGGCAAACGCTGGTCCTCCCATCAATCGGCTCTGCTGTGTAAGCTTCTGAGGAATTCAGTTTTCATGGACTAACAGCCAAAAACAGGCAATGAGCATGCTCGCTACTTGAAGCCACACCAGCTCACGCGCAAACATGCCAACTGAAGGCTCCATCTTCTGACTGCCTCATGGGAGCTGCCAACGGTGTGAACAGCTAAGTGAAGCCTCTCCAGCCTGAAACTCAGTACAGCTTTTAGTCAGAGGGCACAGAATTGCAAAAATTAGGCAGCATACTTAACATGCTTAAACTGGTGACTGCAGAGATGGGACATAATTATTGCTCTTTACCAGATGTAGGTGACTGCAAGCAATAAGTGAGGATGGAGGGAGCCAGGGATGTTCTCTGGCTCTCATAATATTCTGGGGACCCAGGTTCAAATCTCACCATGGCAGATGGTGGAATGTGAAATCAATTTTTAAAAACATCTGGAATTAAAGTCTAATGATGACCATGTAACCACTGTCAATTACAGGAAAAACCCATCTGATTCACTAATGTCCCTTAGGGGCACAAGTTGCCATCCTTTCCTGGTCTGGCCTACATGTGACTCCACACCACATAGAAATTTGGTTGACTCTTAACTGTCCTCTGGGCAATTAGGAATGGGCAATAAATGCTGGCCCAACCAGCGATACCTACAATCCTGGGAATGAATTTAAAAACAAAATCAGTAAAATAAAAAAAAAGTCCTTCAGTCCCCTTTTATGTGACACTACTGGGTTCAGGCATGGTGAAGACAGCCTTTGTGGTTGCTGATGGTGCCGGGGATTGGCCACACAAAGAAGCAAGAAGAGTGAACCGTCAGAACAACAACAGAAAGTGCAGGAGAAACCCAGCAGGTCTGGCAGCATCTGTAGGAAGCAAAACAGAGTTAACAGTTCGAGTCTAGTGACCCTTCGTAAAGCATCAACCCACACTCTTTGCTTAGACCAGGTGTGCTAGTGTTTGTTTTAGAAGGCAGATTAATTTTCTTGGAAAAAGAAGACTATCATGACCAAAACTATCCCTTGCCATTCAGAGACCACCCCTGTTATGCTAACCTTCAGATTACAAGATGATATAGACAGGCTGGTCAGATGGGTAGAACCATGGCAGATAAAATTTAATCCTGAAAAGTGTGAAGTGATGCATTTTGGAAGAACTCACAAGCAAGGGGGTACACAATGAATGGTAGGACCCTGGTATTACAAATGATTGGAGAGACATTGGTGTACGCGTCCAAAGATCTTTGAAGACAACAGAACAGGTAGACAAGATGGCTAAGACGGCACATAGGATATTTGCCTTTATTAGTCAAGGCACAGAATTCAAGAGGTGGAAGATTATGATGGAGCTGTATAGGACAGTGGTTAGGCCACAGCTGGAATACTGTGTGCAGTTCTGGTTCCCTGACCATACAAAGGATGTGACTGCTCTGGAGACGGTACAGATGAGATTCTCCAGAATGTCACTTGGACTGTAGTGATTCGGTTATGAAGAGAGACTAGGATAGGCTAGGGTCGTTTTCCTTAAGAGCACAGAAGACTGACAGAGGAGCCTGCTGAGGTCTACAAATTATGAGGGGCATGGATAGGGTCGATAAGAATAAACGTTTCCCCTTAGTTGAGGGGAATTACCAGGGGCATAGATTTAAGGCAAGGATAGGTGGTTTAGAGGGGACTTAAGCAGAAATTTTTTCACCCAGAGTGGAACTCACTGCTTGAGAGGGAGGTAAAGGCAGGAAACATTACAATGTTTTAAGTAGCATTTAGATGAACAATGAAACACCATACCACACAAGGCTATGGATCAAGTGCTGGGAAATGAGATTGGAGTAGAAAGGTGTTTGATGACTGGCACAGACTCAATGGGCCAAAGGCCCTCTTTCCAAGCTGCGATACTTTACGACTCCAAGATCTTCTCCTGGTTAACTCAACAGCCTCTGTGCTCTCTCTCATAAACCTCTCTGCCTCCCTTTACCTCTTCAATCTGTGACCCCTACCAACAAGTTATTTTTCCCTCTTCCCTATGCCAAACTTCCTTCGGCTTTCCAATCTCACCCTTCCATAATGACTTTTTTTGAAATCCAAGGCAAATAGAGCAAAAAGCCAGATCCCAAAGCAGTCCCCTCCTTTTACAGAAAGTCACTCAAAAGCAGCTGGGAATGGGGAACCTCTGAAAATCTCTCTTCCTTTTTCTTGTTAAGCTGCAACTCATGGTTTAGACTGAGGGCTGTCCTGGACCGTGCAGTTCAATTCCAGGCTGAGCAACCAAAGGAAGCTGCACTTGAACTGCACAGGAAGAGGTTTATTGCAGGACGACAAATGTTTACATTTCAACTGACTGAGCTAGGTACTAAAGGGTATGAGGCGAGTTTGGCACAACAGGAAATTACCTGACTACTCAGTGCAATTTACCAGCACTGCAAAGTTGGCTGCTTTATAACCTCCATAGGCTTTCCTACCCAACTTGTTTTCTGTTGCCAGAACAGTTCACATCAATCTACTCTATCAAGGGAAAGTCAGAGGTCAAGGTAGTTCCTTGACCTTTGACCTAATGCATCTAGAGAGTTTACACAAAACACCCCACATCACAGTATCTATGTATAGCTCTCAGCTAAACCCAAGGTTTTTTCTTTTTGCTTCTATTATTTTATCAAGAATATAATTCAAAATAAATCAGTGAATGGCCAGAAGACAGGACTCCCTAAATTTGGCACCACGCTGTTGGAACCTCACTTCTCAAATAGTGTAACATGAAGTCTCCAACATGCTTCCCAGGAGGCTAAACCAACAGAATTGGCACTGAGTCACATATCAGGGAGAGCGATGCTAAAAACTTAGCCAACGAAGCCAACTTTAAGGAACATCTTAAAGCAGGAAGGAGGGAATGTCACAGCTTGGCAACTGAAGATGCAGCCCTCAAGTCCGTCTCTTAAAAGCTCAAGCAGTCCACATTATTTCCTGCTCTTCCACATAAATCTCAGCCTCTGACATTAGCTGACCCATCAGCCTTGTCGGCTCTTCTCTCTTCTGGCCTAAGAGGTTTCAGGGTCGTCCTCATATTTTGTTGACAAAACCCAATGGAACACTGGCCATATGATCCAGCCAGAACAGCATACACCTGCCTTCTCTCTTCTACTTCACCTCTACCCTAAGTTTTGCTCAACATCCCAATGGCTGTTTCAACACAATTCACACAATACACGGCACTGGACTGTCCTTCCGGTGTTGCCTGTCCATTTCTCTGTATCGAACCGAACCAGCCACTCGATCTGGCCGGTTTCGGATGACCAAGGGTGCCTCATCTGATCTGACCGGACCTGCAACTCCAACCAATCTGCCCGCCCATGCCCTTTCTGAATGACCAACCTGCCGCTCGATTTCACACACCGAGATGACAGGTTTTGATTAGGAAGAGTCAGTGGGTTGGTGGGGAGGCGGGGGAGAGGTGTAGATGCTCTACCACTGAGGCCCCGGTCAATACTTCACAGAAATTTTCTAATCAACCCATTCAGAGGCTTTGTTACACACCTCTGCAGCAGGGCAGGGGGCCTGGAGGTGATTTGGACCCGGTGCCTTCTGGCTCGAAGGTAGGGACGCTTTCAACACTGCACCGCAAAAGCCATTTGCAAACCAAGCGTGCCACTGGTCCTGTAGCAGGGACACGTCAGGAAATAGTGGCAGCAAAGAGCCGCGTGAGAAACGCGGCAGGCTGGAGCCAAGATCCTGGAGAGACTCACTCACCTGATGGTTAAAAACGTGAGAAGGGGAACAGGCTGAGTGCTGGCCGGTAGCTTGGGAAGAGGCTTGAGCCGGCAGGTGGGCAGGATGGTCAGGGAAGAGGAAGGGGTCAGGGGACCGGCCGCTGCCTCTCTTCTTCCCCTGCACCACCACCGCCCAACCCCCACCTCACCGTGTCCCCCGCTCAATTGATGTCCGGGTTGGCGGTGGTCGCCCGTTGCAGCTTCTCGCACGCCGCCTTGTGCCGCAGGAAGCTGTCACGCCACATGAACTTCTTGCTGCAGACGTGGCACTCAAAGGGTTTGAGGCCGGTGTGGATCTTCATGTGCTCCACCAAGTGGTGCTTCATCTTGAACTTCTTGTTGCAGATGGTGCAGCCGAAGGGCCGCAGGTTAAGGTGCATGTTGATGTGCCGGTCCCGCTGGCTCTTGTGGGTGAAGCTCTTGCCGCAGTGGCAAGCGAACAGCTTGGCGCCAGGTCCTGGGCTGCCAGCCGCCGCTTGCACCGCGCCGTGGTGAGTGTCCCCCCGGGGGTGGTAGGCAGACAGCTGTCCTCCGGGGGCCTGGCCCGGGTAGGCTCGCGGCGCGCCCTCGTCCAGCGGCTCGTAGGCCAAGTCCTCGGATGAGCCGCAGTAGTCGATCTGCTCGTCGAAGGAGGGCTCCTCGGCCCCCAGGGGCTCGGGCCCGGCCAGGGTGCACACGTCGCTGATGCTGAGCAGCTGTGGCTCGCTGCGCCGTCGGCCCGGCGCCTTCACAAAGTGTTGCTCGTCCTCCTCGCAGGTCAGCACCAGGTCTCCCTCGTCCGGCTTCTCCTTCTTGACGTGCACCCAGCGCTTGTGTGGCACGATGCTGGGCTGCAGGTAGGCCGGCTGGGGCCACGGGCTGTCTGGCAACCGCCCTGCCGACACCTCACCACTGCCTGGGCCTCCCTGGTTACTGGTGACCTTCTGCTCCACCTCCTTAGCCTTGGCCGCCTCTTGGTCACCGTCTTCCACCTCCTCCTCCTCCTCGTCCTCGTCCTCCTCCTCCTCCTCCTCCTCCTCCTCGTCCTCGTCCTCGTCATCCTCCCCCTCCTCGCGAGGGTCCGCCTTGGCCGGGGTCACCTCCCCGGCCTCGGGCCTGGCCTCCCGGGGGCTGAAGTAGTTGTTGCTGCTGCTGCTCGGGGACTGGTTGTCGGTGACACGGCACGGCCGCTGGCCACTTGGGGCCGGGGCCGGGGCCTGACACTCCCGCAGCAGCTCGGTGCACTTGTCCACCACGTGCCACATCTGCAGGAAGCTGCCCACCGTCAGGTAGCTGACGATGTCGGCCTGCGGCACGGCCAGGCGTCCGGCGTAGCACAACGCCAGGATGCCCTCGAAGGCCCGCGCGTCCATCACGCCCGGGAGCACCAGGCGGCTGGTGTTGCGGAACAGCACCTGGTCGTGGAAGTAGGGCGAGGAGGCGGCCAGCACTGCCCGGTGAGCCTTGAACACCTTGCCCTGCACGTGGATGGAGATGTCGCAGAACTTGCCCTCCAGCCGCTGCTGGTTCAGGCTCTCCAGGAGGTGGCTGCTGAAGTTGGGGAAGTCCACGTACAGCACATTGCTCCCTGGATCCATGGCCGCTTCACTCCTGATTGACAAGGGTTGGGGGGTTTGGAGACAAGGCAGGAGAGAGAGAAAGAAAGAGAGAGAGAGAGAGAATGAAAGGCATCAGAAGAAACGTATTTGCGTGGCAGGGGGAGGTCTGTCAACTTTAGCACTCGGCATTCCCCAATAAGAATATAATTAGACTGGGGGGGGGGGCGGTGGGGTGTAAAGCCACTGTGGCCCCCCCGATCTTGTCAACTTTGCGCAGGTTAGGTCTAAAATTAAGCACAGCCCTCATTTCCAAGTAATTCTGTTAGGTCACAGCACACCCTTAATTCCACTCCACATTCTCCATCTTTGTTCCGCATCCAACAAAGACAAAATCCACCATCTCACCTTATGAAAGCTCCAACTAGACCCTTCTACCAACCACACCAACCCCTCATCTCCAAAGGCCACAACTCTTTCTGGGGTGGAAAGTTCCAGCTTTCCACGGCTCTCGAGCTTCCAGACATCACCGCTCAATGGCCGAGTTTCTGACTTTTAAGGTCAACGCTCGTTTGTTCTGCTCTCCTCGCCTCCCCTCCCCTCCCCTCCCCTCTACCAGCACCTCCCATATTCCCTCGAACTTCACTTTGTGATATGTGACCTGTTGATTACATCAGTACACAGCCGCACACACCACACGTCACCCTCTGAAGGAAATAGTTCCTCTGCAGCTACTCGAGCAAACTTCTTTTTTAATCATTTTAAATATATCCATTAGCTCTCCCTTCAATCATAGAATCCCTACAGTGTGGAAGCAGGTCATTCAGGCCATTGAGTCCATGTTGCCCCCCTCCCCCCCGAAGAGCATCCCACCCAGGACCCATCCCTCCTCCTACCCTAACCCTGCATTTACCATGGCTAATCCAATTAGCCTGCACATCCCTGGACACCGTGGACAACTTAGCATGGTCAATTCACCTAACCTGCACAACTCTGGACTGTGGGAGAAAACCGGAGCACCAAGAGAAAACCCACGCAGACACGGGGAAAATGTACAAACTCCACACAAGCAGTTACCCGAGGCTGAAATCAAATCCTGGCCGGACCCTGACGCTGTGAGGCAGCAGTGCTAACCACTGAGCCACCGTGCCTGACTGAACTCAAGGGAATACAAGTCTCGTCTGTGCAGCCTGTCCTCATAATTCAAATTTCTTTGATTTTATATGGAAACAGAGATTCTAACTGTTCACCAAAGACCGTAACAGCCTTCAGGAGACAAATCCTTGACATGTTTTTAAGAAATTCCTGCTGGCCTATAGCTTGAAGCACTAATCAATTTCAAATCAATGGATCAATGTTTCCACTCAGATAGTGAGCAGCAACATCATCCCAAAAGCACATCAAACATTTCATCAGCTAATATCACCAGTGTTAACTACAGGCAGTTGCAGCTGGTTATCACAGCTAGTGCTATGACAATTTATTAATGGTTGAGTTATAGGGTTAGTAATCGGAGTACAACAGTAGATATTATAAATTGAGACTGTAGTTTCTGTTTAAGCCTAACTGAGTTGAGGTGTTGTTCACTAGTGACAGGCACCCAGAACTTGAGGCTTTATTCAAGTTGGTACAGAAACAGTACGCTTGGCAGGTCTGGAAACCCGAAAGGAAAATATTGTACGAGATGCTTCAATTTGGGAGACTTCCTATTCCCACTAACATAAACTATAAGGAAAATAAAAAAGAACTTGCATTTATCTAGTGCCTTTCACGCTCCTGGAACATCCCAAATCACTTCACAGCCAACGGAGTATTTTTCAAAGTGGAGTCACTGCTGTAGTATAGGAAATGTAGCAGCCATTGTGTGTACAGCAAACACCTACAAAACAGCAACAAAACAACACAATCAGAACATTTGTTATTCACAATACAGGTTGACGGGTAAACATTGGCCAGGAACCCAGGAAGAAATTCGATGCTGCAAAAGAACAGTTAGACAATTCTGAAACTTATTACCAAAAAGGGACCTTTCAACAACTAACTTTACCCACAGATAATGAGACTGTCAGGATTGCAGAGAGGTAGTCAGAGCTAAGTAACCCAACAGTCTATGACAGCAACAAGCCACTGTTGATACAAATCAAGACCTGAAACAGAAAGAAAAACACCTTTCTACAATAGGAAACAATATTGAAAGGAATACACAGCAACCTAGAAAATAACAGGCTAAATAAAAGATGTGTCAGAGTTGGCGTCTATTCATGTACTAAAACTCATGACCACTGAACGTAATTACAGCATACCAATCTTCTTAGACTAAAATATTTGAGTTCCGCATTCAATTCTAGCTTGAAATAAATCCTTGGGTACCCACTATTTCTTAGAATATCCGAATCCCTCAATTAGATTCCAACTGTAACCACTCCCTGATATCCAGTATTCTATATATACACCATTTGGACCCCTTGATTAGATTCCAGATATCAATTATTCTCTACATAAACCATCTAAACCCCTCAGTTAGATTCCAGCCTGTAACACTCCCAGGTATCCATTATTATATACATAAACCATCCGAACACCTCGATTAAATTCCATCCTGTAACTCATTCCTATGTATCTGTGCATCATGTATCATGTGTACAAGTGTATATTTGTGTGTTAAGCATGTATATATGTGATATGCCCATATTTATTACGTGTAGATACAATTGTGAGTATATATGTAGGTGTGGGAGTACTATGCTGTACTTTGTGTACTTGTGTGTGTATATACATATCTATATTTTTGTGTGTATATAAAATTTCTATGTGTGTAAGAATGCTTCTATACTTGTGCAAGAGTGAGTGCATATGCATTATATGTCTAAGAACATGTGTGTTTAGCAGATGTCTCAGTGCCTGTGTATTTATTGTGTATATGTGTTAAGCATGGGAATGATATTTTGTAATTGTATACGTATGTGCGCATGCACAGAATAGACAAAATAGGAGCAAATGTAAATGTCCCATCAAGCCTGGTTCGGTAAAGGCTGACTTTGAATTTCAGCTCCCTCTTCCTAATTGCTCCTTAATTCCCTCAGAGACCATTGATACTAGGATGAGTGTTACAGGCTGGAATCTCATTGAGGGATTTGGGTGGTTTATACCGATGTACACTGATATAGTGATTCTACTGATATAGTAAAGTTCATACAGACAACATCCACTGCCCTACCTTCAATCGTCTTTGCCACTTCATCAAAAAACTCAATCAAATTTGAGACAAGACCTCCCTGCACAAAGTTCCAATAAGTATATCGTCTTCCAAATGTGAGCAAATCCTGTCCCTAAGAGTTTTCTCCAATAATTTCCCTATCACTGATTAAAGGCTCACTGGCCAATAACTTGCTGGATTATCCCCGTTGCCCTTCTCAACAAAGCAACAGCATTGACTATTCTCCAGTCTTGAGACCTTGCCCTTGGCCAAAGAGAATCTAAAGATCTATTCCCTTGCCTCCTTCAGTATCCTGTGATTTATCCCATCAGGTCCTGGGGACTTATCTACCTTCATGTCTTTCAAGACACACAACACATCCTCCTTTTTAATATTGACATGCCCTAGAATATCAACACATGCCTCCCTAATCTTACGATCACCCTACTGAATACTGATGAGACGTACTCATTAAGGACCTCATCCACTTCCTTTGGCTCCATGCCTAAATTCCCTCCTTTGTCCTTGAGTGGCCCTACCATTTCCCTAGCTACCTTCCCACTCCTAATATACATGTAAAATGCCTTGGGATTCTCCTTAAATCCTACAATGGTTTGGTCATAGAAAACCCAGGGTAGTTGTGGAGAGGTATTTTTCTGACTGGCGGTCTGTGACCAGTGGTGTTCCGCAAAGATTAGTGATGGGACCTCCGTTGTTTGCAATATATATTAAATGATTTGGATGAAAACATAAGCGGAGTGATTAGCACGTTTGCAGATGGCACGAAAATTGGTTGAGCTGTGGATAGTGAGGAAGGTTGTCAAATGATTCAACAGGAAACTTAGGCATAGCAATGACAGATAGAATTTAATCTGAACAGCTGGGAGGTGATGCATTTTGGGAGGTCAACCACAAGAGGAAAGTATACAGTAAGATCTGCAAGGTGTTCCGGGCCTCAAGACTCCCTTCTCCGAGTACAGCAACAACAATATCAATGCCCAGGTCACCAAGTCCCCACTCTGGGCACTGCCACTGCTCAGAGTCCAAGCTCCAGGCCTACCTCAGCCAGGAGTCCTGCTCAGGGCATCATCATTGCCAAGAGTCCAGGTTCTGGACCTAGCACAGCCAGGGATATACGAAGAGATCTTGGGATGCAAGTCCAAAGCTCCCTCAAAGTGGCAACACAAGTGGATAAGGGTAGTAAAGAAGGCATACGGCACACTCGCCTTCATAGTTTGGGGCATTGAGTATAAAAGTTATCAAGCCATGTTCCAGCTGTGTATAATTTTAGTTTGGTCACAGTTGGAGTTTTGTTCGCAGTTCTGGTTGCCACATTATATGAAGAATGTGGAGGCTTTGGAAAGGGTGCAAAAGAGGTTTTTCAGGATGTTGCCTGGATTGGCGTGCATTAAGGAGAGTTTGGACAAACTTGGATTGCTTTCATTCGAGCATCAGAAGCTGAGGGGTGACCTGATAAAAAGTATGTAAAATTATGAGAGGCATGGATAAGGTGGATAGTTGGAGAATTTTTCCCAGGACAGAAATGTCAAATACTAGGGGGTACAGGTTTAAGGTGAGAGGGGCGAAATTCAAAGCAAATGTGTGAGGCAAGTTTTTTTTTAAACAGGAAAGGTGGTAGATGACTGGAGCACACTGCCAGATTAGGTGGTAGAAGCAGATACAATAGCAACGTTTAAGGCATTTAGATACCTAAACGGGCAGACTGTATGCAGGCAGATTGGATTAGACATTGTCAACACAGACATGCTAAGTCAAAGGGCCTGTTCATGTGCTGTACTGTTGTATGTTGTATACATGCAAGTGTGCACATGCAGATATATATGCACACACACATGGATAGATGCATATACTGGTCTTTGTGTTACTAAGACAGGGATATAGATACACACACACAGGGATTATATATGTCATAAAGACGCAGGTATAGATGCTGACACGTTTATAACACACAGATATAGATGCTCACGTTTATAAGATATAGTGTAGATGCACACGCACTGATATAAACGTTATTAAGACACAGGTGTAGATGTGGACATGCACTGATATATGAGAGTTATAAATGCACAGACATGTTAAAAGACAGGTACAGTATGGATGCTCACGCACATATTGTATGTAATAGATGCACAAACACACTGATCTGTAAACACTCTCCCTCCCAGTTCAGGAACTCTCAGGAGGAGACTCACTGTCCCAGGCGAAGCCTCTGCGGCTCCATCTTGGGTCAGTGTGTCCCCACGGCCCAGGGCACCGTGCTATGAGAGACTGAGGACCGGACCGGAGGCCAGGCTGAGGCCTGTGCAGGCACCGAGGCCCCGGCGCTGGGTACTCACCGGCAGCAGGCTCAGGCTCAGGCTCAGGCTCCAGCTGGCAGGTACCGCTGGGGGAGGGGCAGCCCCAGGGGCCAGAGCGGGCCCTGAAACCGACCCAAGGAGGGCCCTGAAACTGATCGGGGAGGAGCTCGAAACCGACCGAGGGAGGGCCCTGAAACTGACCGGGGAGGAGCTCGAAACTGACCGAGGGAGGGCCCTGAAACAGTCCGAGGGTCGGCCCTCGGCGGGGTTGGGGCCGGGGAAAGGGGGTGGGGCCTGGGACAGGGGGTGGAGCCAGTTGAAGAGGGTGGAGCCAGTTGAAGAGGGTGGGGCCAGCGGCGGGTTTGATTCCAGCGAAGGGGTGAGCCCAGCGGCGGGGGTGGAGTCTGGCTGAGCGGTAAGACCGGAGAGGAGAGGAGGAAAATGTGCCGCCGTGATGGGGGTGGGGCCTGTGAAAAGGGGTGGATCCCTGCGGGAGGTGGTCCTGTCCTGCGGGAGGGTTCGAGACTGCGAGAGGGGTGGGGCCGGGGTGAGTGGGTGGGGCCTGAGGTAGGGGGTGTGGCCTAAATGCGGGCGGTGCGCCGTCGAGGGGCGGGGTCTGTGTGCGCGGTGGGTGGGGCTGGATCCAGAGGCTTGTCCTTTGACTGGAGGCGGGACTATGGACGAGGACATTGTCTCAGGGGAAGGGGAGGGGAGAAGGTGCAATGGGCGGTGTCTATGGTGCAAGGGGCGGAGATTCGTGGTTAGGGGCGGAGTCTATGCTGCAAGGTGTGGTGTAATTGGACGGGTCTACATGTTAGGGGCGGTGTTGGGACGGAGAGGCGGGGCTTGGTGTGGGAATTAGGGCGGAGTTGGATGAGAGATAGATATTCGGAATATCAACACGCAAAGTATTAAATAGCAGGAATGTAACACAGAGGGCAATACACAGAGTAATAAATACCAGGAATGTTAAACACTTAGAAATTCAATTCATGGATTAAGGAGCATCTGGAGTATCCATCATTCAGATTATTAAACATTCGAGTTATTATAAATTCAAGAGCATCAACATCCAGAAGAGTAAACATCCAGAGTATTAAATACTTTGAATATTAAACAACTGGAATATCAACACCAATAGGATCAACACCAAGAGTATTCCACGCAGGTTTTCAACACCAAACACCCAGCGGGATTGTACACCCATAGTACATGACACCTCGGGCACCCAGCATCCTGTGTACTAATTACCTCGAGTATTTGCAAAGTGCCAAACAGCAGAGCTGCTCAGGATATTAAGATAAGTCTGTAAGAAATAGGAGAGTAACACTCAGCTCATTAAGTTTGCACTAACGTTTAATGTAATTATTGCTAATGTTAGAAACTTGCTTTATGTTTAATGTTATTTGGAAGATGTAAGTTTTGAAGCTTTGTGGAAGATGGATTTATTCCAAATTGTGAGGAAATGCCTAGACTCGTTCCTCTAAAACAGATGATTGAAACTACTGCCTGTGTATGTTAACCTGTTATTGTGTCTATTTGGAATAACTTTGGTTTTGATACAAACTCATAATGTGTTAATTAAGAAATTTGATTGATTCATTGCATTGTGTAAAATCTGATGTGGGTGAGGTCTTTGATGGGTCATCTTAATAACTAAAAAGGGTAGTTGTATTTTATGTTGTGATCCATGGAGTAGTGGGACGGGAGCAGCAATAGATTCCTACATCCTCATCAGAATATAAAAGCAGGGTACACAGCAGGATACTTAAAACAGTCAAGTTTAATTGGAAGTGGAATACTAATAATTGGAAATTGATAAAAGGAAATAGCAATAGTTTATTGTGTTTATGTTAGAATGCCTTTAGCAGTTTCTAACACTTTTCTGACCAAAGAAGATTTATCCTTGAAAAGGATAACCAAGATTAGGCTAAATGAATTGGCTGGGAAATTGGGATTAGAGTTAACTTGGAGGCTACGAAAGCTGGCAAAATTAAGGTAATAGTGCAACATTTGAAGTTGAAAGAACAGCGATGCAAACCAGACAGAGAGTCAATTGAGTTACCAAATATTCAATTGCAGATGAAATAGCTTGAAATATGAAAGGAAACGGGTATTTTTTTAAATGAACTTGAAGAAAGGGAAAGAGCACTCCAGATGAAGAAAGAAAGCACTTCAGAGGGAGGTGAAACAAGAATAAGGTACATTTCAGAGGAAATTGTTAGAAGGGAAATAGCAGTTCAGGCAAAAGAAAAAATGAATACCAGCTTAAAAGGCTGGAACTAAAAAGAAAAAGGTGTCTGAATTCAGGGTATATTCAGATAAAGAAAGATCTGAATCTAATCCAAGGTCCAATGGGGCACTTAAATTTATGCAAGGCCAAAATTTATTGAAAGGGATGTTGAGGCATGTTTCAAATCTTCTGGAAAGAATGTTAAGCCGGTGAGACAGCAGAATAAAACTTACGCAGGTGTCGTTCCCTCCAAACACCCTGGTCCACTCTTCCTTCACTCCACAACACCCCCCTAGCCATCGCCCCACGGCACCTTCCCCTGCAACCACAGAAGGCGTGTCACCTGCCCATTTACCTCCTCCCTCCCCAGTATCCAAGGGCCCAAACATACTTTTCAGGTGAAGCAAAGCTTTACACAATCTAGTCTATTGCATTCGCAGCTCACAATGTGGTCTCCTCCACATTACGGAAACGAAGCATAGACTGGGTGACTGCTTCACAGAACATCTACATTCTGCCCACAAAAAAGACCCTGAGCTTCCAGTTGCCTGCCACTTTAACACACCACCCTTTTCCCTGGCCAACATCTCTGTCTCAGGCGTGCTTAAGCAGAGCTCAGCATAAGCTGGAAGAACAACACCTCATTTTCCACTTAGGGACTCCACAGCTTTCTGAACTTAATATTGAGTTCAATAATTTAGGATTGAACTCTTCCATGTCCTAGCCCCTACCCCCACACACCAGGGCTTATTATCAGATAGTCCACTATTACACACAACCCATTGTTAGCCAATAACAGTCCCCATTAGTAGCTATTCAATCTCTTAGCCAGATCATTACCCACTCCTTTGTTTGTCTAATTGTTTGTCTCTCTCTTTGGGCTCTATCTCCAACTATCATATACTCCTTACCCTCTCCCCCCTGCCCCACCTACTTTCTGCATATAAACCGACATTTTCCTAGCTACCACCAGTTCTGCGGAAGGACACCGGACCCGAAACGTTAACTCTGAGTTCTGTTCACAGATGCCGCAAGACCTGCTGAGCTTTTCCAGCAATTTCTGCATTTGTTTCAGAATAAGACTAGGCTTTGCTCATGCAAAGCAAGCTGGTGGGTAGATTGTATAAAGTTTATGAACTTCCCTCTGAGGTAGCTTCTATGTATTATGAGATGGAATATTCTTGGCGCATGTGAATTGATCCCTGAGGCTTACAGGCAGAAATTTCAGAATATCTTTAAGCAGCTTGGGCAGACTGGAGTAGAGTTTGGTGGGATAAAGCAGAATGCTGGCATTAAAAATAGATTCCAAATGAGATGCTTAGGGAAGTAATCCTTCCAAAAGAAAGTAGAAATTCACTCCCTCCATTGGTATGAATTCACTTTTCTTTTCAGAAGAAATATTGAAACAGCAAGACAGGCAACTGAAATGGCTGACAATTATGAGCTCCACAAATTCCAATCTTTTTCCGTTGTTTCCACGAATCGAAGAAAAATAGAATGTGGGAAGATGAAAGGAAGGTGAATTCCCGGGGTTAACAAGGGACAGCTGAAAGCACTCCAGAAATTTCTCCTCAGGCAAGCAAGGAAGGAAGTAATATCTGAAAATGTAATTGTTTCTATTGCCATAAGGTGGGGCATTTAAGGTTTTGGAGTAGATCTGTAGCTCAGGTTGTGGGTGTTGAGGTTGGTTGGCTCGCCGAGCTGGTTTGTTGTTCTGCAGATGTTTCGTTACCATGCTTGGTAACAACCTCAGTGCAGCCTCTAATGAAGCGTCGGTATGTTTTCCCACCTGGTTTTTATCTCAACGGACCCCAGAGTTCAAAAACCAGGAGGGAAAACACACCGACGCTTTATCAGAGGCTGCACTGAGGATGTTACCAAGCACAGTAACGAAATGTCTGCGGAACAACAAACCAGCTCGGCAAGCCAACCAACCTCAACAAGGTGGGACATGTGGCACCATTGTGCAGAAATTTGGAAGTTGCGGGTTAAATCGATGGGATTAATCAGAGTACATAAAGTCAGTGCAGTAACAAAGGTAAATTTTTACCCAACTCCTCACTTAGAGGACTGTGTTGATAGCATGGTAAAGGTTTACAAAATATTCTTACCAGTTTAGGGGTTTGCCTTTTAAAGTAGAATTAAATAGTTAACCATTTTAGTTCTATAAAGGTAATATTTTTAAGAGTACAAAAAGACATTTATGAACTGTGTATTCAAACATCATTTACAAGAAAGTGTGTGATTTAAGCTAAGTGACTAGATAAACTACCTGGGGAGTTAACTGATGAAACGTTTATAAAGTTCAACTTCTACGATATACAGAAAGACAGACCAATGACCACAATCATGTTTCAGCTCAGAAGTATGATTCAAATCAGCAGGAGGGCAGTTCCATGTTTGGAAGCCCAGGCCTTCAGAGTTGGAAAGAAGTCTTAAATCTGTTTTAGCAGCTTAAAACAAACTTTTCTTGAAGTTCAATTAGAAAATATCACGAAAGTAGCTAGTGTCAATATATCTGTATATCTCAGGGAGTGGCAGTAACAGAGTGAATCACACTTGGTGAATGCATAGAAAGCTGCCAAAAGAAAATGCTTGAAACCTTTAAGAAATAAATGAAAGAGTTAGGATAAGAGTGATACTTAACAGAGGTTGACTGTCTGTAAAGTATACTGTTAGGAAAAGGGTTGAAGATTCCTTTTGTTGTTCATAGAATCATAGAATTCCAACAGTGTGGAAGCAGGCCATTTGGCCCATCATGTCTGTGCTGACCGTCGAAACATCATCCTACTCAGAGCCACTCCCCTACCCTACCCTGTGGCTAATCCACTTAGCCTGCATATCTCTGGACACTACGGGCAATTTACCATGGCCAATCCACCTAAACTGAACATTTTGGACTGTGGGAGGAAACCAGAGTACTTGGAGGAAACCCATGCAGACCTAGGGAGAATGTGCATACACCACACAGGCAGTTGTCTGAGGGTGGAGTTGAGCCCTGGCTGTGAGGCAACTGTGCTAACCACTGAGCCACCCTCCCTAAAATTTTCCTACTCTTCTCCCCTAAGCTTTCCTCCTCTCACCTTGAATCTCTACAGTGTGGAAGCAGGCCATACCAACCCTCCAAAGAGGGATCCACCAAGACCCACCTCATCTCATCCCTGTAACACTGCATTTCTTGTGGCCTATCCACCCAACCTGCACATCTTTGGACTGTGAGAGGAAACCGGAACAAATTCACACTGAGACAGAGAGAATGTGCAAACTCCACACAGACAGTCACCTGAGGGTGGAATTGAACCCAGGTCCCTGGCACTATGAGGCAGTAGTGCTAACCACTGAGCCACCATGCCCTCTTACTGTTAAGAGTTTTCTAAATTGTCTTCTATGGATATATACCTTTTCTACAGCTTTGTTTTGTTTTCCTTTGTGTATTGAACTTGTATTATTTTGCTTGTGAATGTGTTCAATTATGAACCACAATGATAATATCATAACACTGATGAGAAGAGTGCCCTGGAAATTAAGTCCTGTGATTTTATGAGTTGTCGTAAATTTGAAAAGGACCAATTTAATCAACAGGGTAATTAATTTGCCTTACTGGAACAATAATCTAATAGAAAAGAAACTCACATTAGATTACAATAACATGCACAAAAAAAGTTTTTATTATGGAAAGTGTATCCTTTAATTAGTGGCAAAATGGATTAAATGCAAACAAGTGTTGGCCACTTGGCTTTTCAAGCCTGCTCTGCTATTCAATAGGAGCTTGGCCGAACTGATTTTAACCTCAGCTCTACATTCGTGCATACCCCGAATAACCTTTCATCCTCTTAGTAATCAAGAATAATCTACCTCTGCCTTTAAAATATTTTAAAGTTCTGTACCCACTGCCTTTAGAGGAAGGGAATTTCAAAGACTCATGGTACTCCCTCATGGCTGCTTTAAATGGACGACCTCTTATTTTATAACTACTTCTACATTCTCGTAAACGTCTCGTTATTTGATAATTTGGTAGCTGGTCAGTTGGGCCTAGGTCTTTTGCTTGAGTCAGCAGTTTTTCTTTCGGAGTCTTTTGGTACTGGTTTTCATCCATTCATAGCGGATGGATTATTAATTACTCATACGCAAACTCTAACTGTACCTCTTTTAAATCCAAACCTGGTTACACTTGTTCACAAATAAGACAGACATATCTGGTAAATATTGGCAATGAGGAACAAATTCTGTGCATCAACAGTCCACACTACAAGGGTGGAGTGAGGTAGTTTTCTTATAATTCTTTTGTGGTTAGATCATGTTTGTTTTCAACTGTAATTATCCTCAATTCAGTGGCTGGGGAGTTGGACTTAGGTCTTTCGCTTGAGTGAAATATTTTTCTTTCGGAGTGTTTTGTCGCTGATTTTCACAGCGCAATAGAGAGAACAGTCTGGCTAGCTTGCAGACTTTTAGAGATGTAAGTGTTACTGCTCCCTTCGCAGTTTTGTAACAAAATTGCCACTTAAATCTAACAGGGGAAGTTGTTCATTCAACCCAAAAGCTCTGGTGTCAGCTTGTCACACAAAAGTATCAATTCCAGCTTCTCAAAGTTACACACTCTTTGGTAACCAATGAATGATCACCACAATTTTGCTTCAAATTGTAAAATTAAAACAGCAGTCCGAACTTCCATCCTTCAGTTTATATCTTCAAAATAAAAGCATAAGAACTAACCACAAAAATAACATTGTTCACAAATAAGACAAACTGATTTGCAAAAATATTATGGTAAATATTGGCGATGAGGAACAAATTCTGTGCATTAACAGTCCACACCATAAGGGTGGAGTAGGGTAGCTTCCTCACAGTTGTTTTGTGGTTTTTACTGAATGATCTCTTACATCAGGTGTCATTCTGAGAACTGACTTATCTAGAATTCAGCTGGGATCATTACAATTGGTGGTGGAATAGGGCTTCTGAGCCCGGGGCATGTCTGCTGCATCCGCATTTCTTTTTGTTTTTTTTATCTCTTCTCTCGTTGTTTTACTCTATTTTGTTTTACTTATTTCTTGGTGAAGAGCTCGGTTGTAACGACGACATTGCAAGTGGACCCAGCAGTGCAAACTCGAGTGGGCCCAGCAATATGGACATGAGTAGGCCCAGCAGCACAGACTCGAAAAGGCCCAACAGCGTGGACTCAAGTTGGCCCAACAGCGCGTACTTGAGTAAGCCCAGCAGAGTGGACTCGAATAGGCCCAACAGCGTGGAATGGAATAGGCCCAGCAGCGCAAACTCATGTAGGCCCAACAACGCAGACTCGAGTAGGCCCAACAATGCAGACTTGAATAGGCACAGCAGAGTGGATTCAAGTTGGCTCAACAGCGCGGAATAGGTGCAGCAGCGCAAACTCATGTAGGCCCAGCAACGCAGACTCAAGTAGGCCCAACAACGCAGACTTGAATAGGCCCAGCAGAGCGGACTCGTGGCTGTGGCATCAGAGGTGAGTTTTGGTTCCTGGCGGCATCTGTGTCCAGCGCAGATTGATGGAGACAATGGTGGAGGCAAGTTTGGGCCCAGTATGAGACCCAGTGGCATCAGCAGCGGCTGCATCGGCAAGGTGGGTTGAAGCAGACTCATGGCGGCAGTGGAGTCAAGTTTGGGCTGGTTCAGTACCTTGCATTGGTGAGGTCCAGCGAAGACACATAGTGGTGATGGCACCAAAGTGTGGTGACTTTCGTTCCAGCAGTAGCGGCGCGGTGAAGGGAACTCATGCCTGGCCACCAGGCCCATGGCCCATGATGGAGCACTTAACAAGAAGGACTGTAAAGCTTGACACTTCCTTTATTTCTTCATTTTGCTGCCTTTGTATTTTGTTTTGGTTTATCTTTCTGTGTTTTAAGATGGTGCCGAAGAATGGCAACCCTACACAACACTTTTCACTGTATTTTGGAACAAGATACATGTGACAATAAATAAATCAAATCAAATCAATTTCCACATAGAGAAGACTGAGAGAGACTCTGTCAGAGGCATGCAAATCATTCTGAGTGGAAGTCAGACAGGAACTAAAAACCATGAAGATGCTGATCATTTTCCTTATCGTAGGATCGATCAGAAGAGCAAATAAAAACAGTTTTTAAAAAACATTAAGACATATCAACGAATTTTGCGGTCCCAATGAGCTGGAGTTGGTCATTGATGTCAAAGTTCAGGGTTGACACAGTCAGAGATGTTAAGAGAACAATGGAAAATGAAGAAATTGTCCAGGCAGGTAGCCTAAGAAGCAGAGAGGTTGTTTAACTATATGTAAAAAGAAAGAAGAATCTGTGAAGATTCAGCAACTGGAATAAAATGGGGTAAAATGTGAGGCTGTTAAAAAGAAAGAAACATGGAATATTGTTTAAACTGCGAGGCTATAGAATGAGGTGGTATGGAGACAGTCCTTGTACCTAACCATGATAAGTTAACATGCAGATACAGATTAAGTAAAAAGGTAAAGTTGCTATAATCGTAGCTAGTATGAAGACCCTTATGGCAAGAAGCATTGATTATGATAGGAGGGAAGTCTTGTTGCAACAGTACGGGGCTTGGTGAGACCTCATTTAAAGTCATGCATGCAGTATGGTCCTCTTAACGAAAGATACACTCATCCCCAGGGCACTATATACCGGAGGGGTTTCACTCTGTGCCTAACCCAGAACTGAACAGAGACAGGATTGTTTTCACAAGGTAGGGGTTAATTATTCAGGCACACGCCGGTGACAGGAATCTTTCTCACACATTAGAAACTTGATCTCTGTCAAAGATTTGCAATTTCCTCTTGTTAGTGTGTACTTGGAAAGTTATCATCCTACACATGAGCAGGGAGCATGGGTGTGCTGAATGTAGAAATGTATTCTGTTGTTCAATATATTTCTTGCACATGTCATTCATCCTGATAAACACTGGGACTGTATATGAATGTCAATTAGTTGTAAGTTTTTCCTTTCAGGATAAGCTTGAAAAGTCACTGAGTTTCCTGCAGCAACAAATGGAAGAGGTCTTTCGGAGTCAGAATGAAGAAGAAACTAACATGATCCAGCTCAAGGTAAGATTCTGCACTGTGATCCTCAGCCATGAACATGTGAACCTGGAGCTCCTCATTTCTAACCAGTAAGAGAACGGCAATCACTTATTAAAGACTGGTTGGTAACAGCGACCAACCTCAGCTGCATTGCGTCCATCCACATTTGAATCTCATCTGATACAAAAGTAGAATCAGATAAGATGCATTGTACAGAAATACATTGCATTGGCCCATGCTCCCATTAGCCCCCTGTCATTACCATTCTAAGCCTGTTTGTATTTTCTTCTATTGTCTCTTCCTTCACCTGCTGGCTTCCCCCAAATGCATCTACGCTGGTCAGATTAATCATTCCGTACACCAATTCCTGACTGAAGAAATTCCGTCTTGGATTTGATTGTGACTATCTCAAGGTCCTGGTTCTGGGAAACCACAAGTGAAGTATCCATCTCCTATCAATCCCATCCAGCCTCTTTGGGATCTTAAAGACCTCAGTTAGATCCCCTTCAACATTTCCCTTTGTAGAAGGAAAGAACCCCAAACCTATTCAGTCTTTCCTGAGGAATATTAACTCTGCAGGTCTGGTATCACTTTGCCCTTATAGTCAGCGTGTGGTGGTGGGACTGAGGAGGTTCAAGAGGAATACGTGGTATCTCCACTTTCTTAAGAAACCCAAGCTCAGATTGTTCCACTCAGACAGACTTGGTGAGGGAAAACAGGGTAGAATCAGACCCAGCCTGGTCGTAGGAACAAAACCACGTCACTCAGAGGCAGCCTATTACCCTCAGGTTTTAAAACTGGGTAAAAGTGGCTTCTTACATGACACTTTGTGAAGGTAAATACAGACAGGTGGAGGTGGACAACATCAGTCAAAATGACAGATTGGATTTATATCAAGACTTTTACATCGTCAGGATATCCCTAGCCATTTTTGTGTTGTAGTGTGGGAAAATATCAGCCAATTAGCTCACATCATGCTCCCACACACAACATTGAGATAAGGATCAGATAGCAGGTTTTTGTGAGATGTTGATTGAGAGATAAATTTTGGCCAGAGTTAACTCTCCTGCTCTTTGAAACGGTGCCATTGGGGTCTCTTTTATCCACCAGACATAGCCTCAGTTAAATGTATCTTCAGAGAGATAGCAATGTAGTACCCATCAGTAATATACTGGTGTCAACCATTTCTTTCACCCAAGTCCTGGTGTGGGATTTGAACCCACAGCCTTATTAAACAGCAAACCAGAGCAGATGGATACAGCCAGGTGAAAACATGCAATACAAGTTTCAAACAGGTTAGACGTATCATGGTGACAATGGAGGGGATACAGTTTGGTAGCGATTATGTTGTTTAGCAAGTAACTCTGAGGTTTGGAATTGAAATCAAGTCAACACAAGTTCACATCACACAGTAGCTGCTTAAGAATTTTAAGAAGTATTCTGTAAAGGTTGCTTACAGACATTAGATTGTCATTAAAAAATTTCATTCACGAATGTTCTTTGGGGAGGCAAACCTTCATTATCTGGGTCTATAGGTCACTCCAGTCCAGTGGCCCAGACCATTACAATCCACTCATTCGCGACTTAACAAACCCATCAGTCACACCAAACTTTGGTTTTAAAAGATCGACAATCACAGGGCAACTAAGGGTGCTCTTTAAATGCTGCCCTTTCTGCTGAATGCCATTTCCCAAGAATAAATTTGTAAGAAGCTGGCTTGCACTGATGATAGAGCCAACTATGAGTAGGTGCCAAACACTGTAGCTTTATAAAGTCCAATGAAGGTTAAACAGGTTGGGACTCTGCTCATTGGAGTTTAGAAGAATGAGAGGTGATACCATTGAAACATACAGGGTTCTTCATGGGCTTGACAGGGTAAATGCTGAAAGGATGTTTCCCGTCATTGAAGGGCATAGTCTCAGAATAAAGGGGTGCCAATTTAAGACTGAGATGAGGACGAATTTCTTCTCTCATAGAAGAGCCACAGAGAGAGCTGCTGGGACAGTCATCCCCATTTTTATACTCAACTCCCTTTGAAATAATGGCCAACATTCTGTTTCCTACAGTGCCTACCCACCATTGCCAACTCCATTTTAGTTGGAGAATGGCAGGGATGGAGGAAACGGTGATTGATCTTGCTAGATCACTCCAGTTTGGCTGGGATTGGCTGAGCCGCTCACCGATTGGATCTGCTGCTCCATTGGAGGGTCACATTTGTTCATGTGTTGAGCAGCATGTGGGCTTACAGGAAGAGCATACGTCCCTGCCACCCTTCCAGTATCCCACCCACCCTGCAGAGTCAGACAATCCGTCTTCTTTGCCTAATGTTGGGTGATGATTGTATGCCCAGCAGCTCCCCATCCTCACACTCCATCCTTGTGCCCCACCCAATAGGCCATACAATCTTGCAATAACAAAACAGTACCTGTTAGTCCATTGGTGGAACAGAACTTGAGTATAACTGAAGAAAAATATACTTCATGGAAGGTTTCCGTCTTGCTCACATCAGAACAGTTTGCAGGAATACCAGTTCAAGGAGGAAAGCAACATTTATGCTGCATGAGAGGACAGTGCTGATTGGTTGTCAATCTGATTGGTAGAAGCGTCGCCATGGAGAATGCATTATCTTCAGTAATTGAGGGCACTTCACCGGCCTGGCAAACTAATTCCAACCGCTCCTTTCTTATCCTTCCACCCTCAATATTCATCACCTACATTCACTCATGCCCATCCCTGTGAGCAAACCCATGGGAGAAAACTTCTTTGAGGTTTTGAGGGGTGGAGTAAGGGTTTCATTACTTGTCTTTGAATTTTTTTTCATTTCTCAGTGGTTCAAAATATTGGTGATAGGCTGAAAAAGGGGCCAATAACAGAATATTCAATGACACTCCAACTGGTGGTCAAGGAGACTTTCTGATTGGCTGGGAAGGCAATGCACCTGAAGGATGGGCCAATGGCAGGAGTGTATGATGGGGATGGGGTTATGTGTGTGCTTCTAGAAGAGAAGGTCAGCGTGGTTTAAGGTCAAAGGTTATGTGATGAAATCTCCAATGGGCTCAAGATGTCCAGCGCCAACCTAGGGGGAGGTGGAGTGGTAATGTCACTGGATTAATAATCTAGATGGACCAGGATAATTCCCTGGGACCGTGGGTTCAAATCCCACCACCACCACAGCGGATTTGAAAATAAAAGCTAGGCTCAGTAATGGTGACTATTATTGGGCTGTTGTAAGAACCCATCTAATTTGGCTTTGGGAAAGGGAATCTGCTATCCTTACCCAGTCTGACAGTGAAGTCCAGTCCCATGGAGGATTGAAACAACAAGACAGGTCTCATTTAATGGAGATTCCAAAAGCATGCTGAACACCAGCTGTACCAAGAGAGTTTGTACCCCTGGCACAAGGGATGATCCCACCCTCTTCATTTTGACGGTGGAGGCACCCATTGGTCAATGGGTGGGTAATGCTGTAGAGTTCTTATCTTGGTAGGGGAGGCAGGGGTGGTGAATGTTATGTGGGAAGGGTCTGATTTTTTTAAACACTCTGACATGCATGTGAGTTCAGTGCCCACATTCTCAAGGGTTCCAGTCAGGACCTCTGAGCCTCTTCTGCCATTCCTCCAGAATGTCCTGAACATTTTCCCATCGTTTGAAGATTGGGATAAATATTTGCCCGTCCCAAAAGCATGTTGCAGCCCCTGATGAGATTTTGAAAACATTGCATCAAATCGGCATTTCAGATCCCCTTTTTTATTTCTGCCAATTTCAGTGCTTAGGTGCATTGGGCAGTTCTGATAGCAAATGTTTTTTTTAAAACTCTTTATAGGATGCAGTCATCACTGGTTGAGCTGACATTTATTGCCCATCTCTAATTGCTCTTGAACTGAAAGGCTTCCTAAACCACTTTAGAGGGCAGTTAAGAGTCATCCAAGTTGCTCTGGGCCTGGAGTCACATGTAGTCCAGAAAGGGCATTAGTGAACCAGACGGGGGTTTTAATGACATTCAATACACAGTCACCATTAGACAAGCTCTAATTCAGATTTTTAAATTCTCTTTTTAAAAATTTATTGTGTGAAATATTTCCAAATTGCACCATCTGAGGTGATAAACCTGTGTCCTCAGAATAGCAAGACTCTGCATTCCTAATCTAGCAACATTACCACAACACCACCTCTTCCCCTGGCTCCTTAAAGGCTTGTTTTACATCAGAGTTTCCAGTTGGAAAACTAAAATTTGCACAAGTGGACCATTTGTGTGTTTGCGAGTATGTGTCTGTTTGTCTGTCTGTGTGTGCGTGTGTGTGTGTGTGCTTGCGCATGCGTGTGTGTGTATATTTGTGCAAGGTGTGCACAAGTAGGTGGACACTGAAATATAATGCACATGTGCGTGTCAGCATGTGATTGCCCAAGAATGTGTATATGGGTGTGTGAATGTGTGCGTGTGTGAGTGCACACTTACCTGTATTCTTTTAACAGTGTGCCTGAAATATGCAAGAAAAATGTAGATTATGAGGAAGATGATGTGTACATAGTCTGGGAATCCGTGTGTGCATGAGCAAGCTATATGTATCAGCATGCAACCATGTTTCTGAAATTCCTCTCAAGCATATTGTCTAATGTTAATGAGCTTGAATATAAGTAAAACTTTCACCTTTCAGCCTGCACCCTCAGCATGGATACCTGTGTAAGTGGACGATGCAGAGAATACATTCAGTCTATACGTATCCCACAATATTTCAGACACATGAGCTAGTTGTTCATCATGTCCCGTATAAACTTGCATGAGACCTCTCCTCAAATGCACATCAGAGTCAGACTGATGGGGCAGCTCCAATCTCTTATTTGTTGAAGTCATTCTCCCTGATACCAAGGGCTCCCATCAATGGAATTGGTGACATGGGGAATGCAGAGAAGTGTCTCTACTAGACCCATTTGAGTGGTTTTTCTTCAGGAGTAATCCGGTTTCAACGTGTTTCTTCAATGATGTTGGATGAGATCCCAGATGGAAATCTGCTGAATGAGACAAACTGGTCCGACCATTCCTGTACACCTCTAACTGGAGGACCAGTGTGTTCACTTCCAAGTCTCACTGGTTTCTCAGCCTGGGTTTGAACACATTTCTTGTGGTATTGGTCTGGGCTGAATGGGTTTCCTCTGGGCGTGATCAAGTTAAACAGGTTTCCTGTAGGATTGGACTGGCTTGAACAGGTTTCCTGTGGATTGGACCAGTTTGAACAGGTATCCTGTAGGATTGGACTGGCTTGAACAGGTTTCCTGTAGGATTAGAGATAGTAGGAACTGCAGATGCTGGAGAATCCGAGACAACAAGGTGCAGGGCTGGATGAACACAGCAGGCCAAGCAGCATCATAGGAGCAGAGAGGCTAAGGATTGGATTAGTTTGAACAGGTTTCCTGTAGGATTGGATTAGTTTGAACAGGTTTCCTGTAGGATTGGATGAGATCGATGGGTTTGGACAAGTTTCCCTATGGGATTAAACCAGTTTGAACAGGTTTCGGTGAAATTGGATGGGTTTGGACAGATTTCTCTATGGGATCAGACCAGTTTGAACAGGTTTCTTTGAGATCAGATAGGTTTGGACAGGCTTCCCTGTGGGACTGGTCATGTTTGGACCAGTTCTCAGTGTGTTTTGAACAGATTTCAAACGAGAGTGATTGGCAGAACTGAGCATGACAGGTTGTTACAGTACCTCTTGAATGAGAATGAGGTAATGTTTGTGCAGGGACACCAGGAACTCCTGGCAGTATAAGATCATCCTGATGGTGAAATAAAAGCAGCATTTCCAGGGAGAGGTGGGATGGAGAGAGGGAGCTCTTTGAGTCTTAGTGCTACAGTGCACTGTGGGGGGTCTTGACACATCTCTCACAGACCTTGCCAAAAAAAGAGACATCTCGGCATCCCACCTGTTCAGTTTTAGTCACCAATAGTGGGTGATGTGTAAAACTCTCCTTTCGCCTTTTACTACAGGATGAGTGGCACGGTGGCTCAGTGGTTAGCACTGCTGCCTCACAGTGCCAGGGACCTGGGTTTGATTGCAGCCTCAGGCAACTGTCTGTGTGGAGTTTGCATGTTCTCCCTGTGTCTGCGTGGGTTTCCTCCGGGTGCTCCAGTTTCCTTCCACAGTCCAAAGATATGCAGGTTAGGTGGATTGGCCGTGCTAAATTGCTCTGTAGTGTCCCCAGGATGTGCAGGCTTGGTCGGTTAACCATGTTAAATGTGGCGTTATGGGGATAGAGTAGGGGGTTCTGGGTGGGATGCTCTTCAGGGGGCTGGTGCAGACTTGATGGGCTGAATGGCCAGTTTCCCTACTGTAGAGATTCTATGATTCCAACAGCATATGAAGCTAAAACACTCCCCTGTGATAATCTGACCTGATTGGAGTTGTTTTGTGTTAATTGGCCAGCAGTAATTTCACTTGATGTACCTTGGTTTGGGCTGGCTTTGTTGAAACTTATGGGATACTGAGAGACTGAGTAGACGAGGAGAAGACGTTTCCATTGGCAGGAGAAACCAAGATCTGAGGACACAGCCTCAGAGTGAAGCGACTGCCCTTTAGAACTGAGATGAGGGGGAATTTCTTCAGCCAGGGGATGGTGAATCTGTGGAACTCATTGCCACAGAAGACTGTGGAAGCCAAATTGTTGAGCTTATTTAAGACAGAGATAACCCTTGATTGGTAACAGGGTCAAGGTTTATAGGGAGAAGGCAGGAGAATGGGGTTGAGAAATAGATCAGCCAATAATGGTGGGACAGACTCAGTGGGCCGAATAGCCTAATCCTGCTCTTATATCTTATGGTTTTACGGCTTAGTTTTATTCAGAGCAGTTGATTTTGAGTGCCCTGAATTTGGCATTAGTTTATTAGCGTTGCTAGAATTGGATGCAATCTAGATTGGGCTGGCTCAGAATCACTTCAATAAGTTGGTGCTTGAACTATTTACGGTTTGGTTGAGAGCGAAAGGAGAAAAGCCAAAACATCTCAGCAGGGATTGCTTCTGCTCCTTACGAGTTGGCGTATCTTATTGTGAATGGATGTCAAATTCCATATTAGTGGGTGTTGAGCATTGTCTCAACATCATTCTTGGTATCAGTTGAGATACGAATAAATATCAGGTCATTCCATGTTACTGGTGTCTGATCATTTAAACAGAAAAAAAATGAATGTAGAGAGAGGCAATTGTTCTGATCACTCTGATCTGAACTTTAGTACATTTTCTGTTTAATCATCAACTTATAGACCATCCTCAGCACTTAGTACATCACCAGTGGCTACTATATTAAAGTGTGTGGCTATATCTGTAAAGTACATCTGTGTAAGGTTTAATTTTAACGTGCACGCACAAGGTAGAATGTTGTGCAGTGTAAGGGCTGATATCTGGAAGGTTGGCCTATTTGGTCTTTTCACCATGCATTTTGATATGGTGGCCATTCACAATTGTAGAGCATTCAAATGTATGGCCTATCCACTGAATTCATGTCACTACATTAGGTTCAACAGCACAGAGGGCGACATACAGTCAGAGGCAGTATTCTACCTTCTATTTAACTCAGATGGGAGACACATGATTGACATTGATATCCAGTCCTTCTCTCTTTCACTCAGTCTCTCCATTCTTTCTGTCCCACTCTCTCTATTTTCCCTCTCTCCTTCTGTCCCCCCTACATTCTCTTTCTCCATCCCCATCCCCATCATCTACCCTGTCATGCTCTCTCACATGCCTCACTCTCATTTGCCCCTCTGTCTTTCCATTTCTCCACAATCTCTCTCCCTTTCTTTACTCTTTTTATTTTCCTTCTCTGTGTACCTCTCCCCTCTCTCTCTCTTTCCCCCCACTCTCTCTTTGTCTGTCACTCTCTTTCTCCATCCCCAACCATCTTTCCCTGTCACTCTCTCTTCATGTCTCTCACTGTGCCCCTCTCTCAGACTCTCTTTCCATCTCTCTTCTATCTCGCTCGCTTTATTCACTCCCCTTCTTTCCCTTCTCCATCAACCTCTTTCCATCTCTACGCCCGCTCCCTCTTTCTGCCCCTTGTCTCTCAGCTGTCAGTGAAATGAAAGGCAGCCCATCCCCACTGGCAGTGTGTCGTTCTTCTATTATATATGGGTGGCTCTGACAAAACATAAATGTTAAAGGTTAATCATGGTAACTGAGATGTCGTTTGATGTCCAGTGGAAACGGGCCTGGGATCAGATACCTGGGTGCATTCGCCACACAAATATAATACCCCAAGACAGTTCCTCACCTTGTCCAGCTACCTCACTCTCACCAGCGCAATTAGTTTAAACCTGAAGCAACTGAAGGGCTCTTCTTTCTTTGATGGTTATGGATCATGCTCCCCTTGCTCTGTGGACGAATCTCTACTGTGATACTACCAAAGATAGGGGGTGACTTTCCGAATCCCCCACCCTTCTCCAAGATTACACCACATCCTGGGATATGATTCAGTGGCAGCCATAAGGTCTTCACCTAAATAGACAATCTTCATGTCCAGTGGGACGTCAGCTGGCAGCATGTAGTCATGCCTAATTCTAGACCTGAAGCTCCACATTCATGTCTCACTTCAGGAAATGATGGTCACCGGTGGTTTGTCAAAATGTACTCAACAGTCCATCAAGCCTCCTGGTACGCCAATACAGGCGGTGAGTTTCCTTGTTGGCTAAGATGGGGTAAAAGCCAATGACTTACCATAAACATGTGCCAACCTCATTCCATGTCAGGTTCCCGAGCATCCTCTCACCAAATTGACAACTGAGTAATATCGGCCAGGATGGACCTTGCTTCTGGACCACAACCCTGCTGAATGGACAGGGAAATTGGACAAGTGCTTCTCCCTCACGATCCACACTCGTCAACAAGCAGATTTCCTGTCATTGTTCCAGCTGGATAATCCCATACCCCACCACCAATTCCTCCACTCCCGATTCCTGCCAGACTTGTGATTGGCCAGTGTGGAAAGTAACAGCCACATTATGAGATGAGAGTGAGAGACACGGGGCGGGGGTAGGGAACAGAACATCTGATTATGTTCCCTGTTGGCCATTAGTTAGTGGTAAATTAATGGTAGTGTGACAGTAGAGATTGGGTCAAGTAAGAGATGGTAAGACAGAGAGATTCTCCTAACCATCTTGAGGATTAATGAGGAGAAAGACCCCTTCAGGCCGCCAAAGGGTGAACCCCTCAGAGGTTGAGGTGGCCTGGTGGTTTGCTCTGAATTAATTAGGTCTTTGGCTTTAACAGAAAATGGCGGAGAGCCTGGAGCAGAACATTGCGGCTGAGTTCACCACATTGCACCAATTCCTCAATGACGAAGAGGAACTGATGAAAGGGAAGCTGAAGGAGGATGTGGAGAGACTGTCCAGGCTACTCAGGGAGAACCTGCAAAGAATTACTGAGAAGCGGGCATCCATTGAATGCACCATCCTCGAAATCCAGCAAAGGCTCAATGTCCAGGAGACAGCCTTCCTCACGGTAAGAAGCTCTGTTGGCAGAGTCTTCCCAGAGAGCAATGTCTACCACAGCTCCTTCAGAGTTGCTAGGTCAGACTTCTAGAACAAAATAGCATTGTGTAGTAACGCCATCCCCCTTACCCAACAACACTGTGTAATTATCCCCTAACAGCACTGTGTAATTATCCCCTAACAGAACTGTGTAATTAACCCCTAACAGCACTGTGTAATTACCCCTAACAGAACTGTGTAATTAACCCCCAACAGCACTGTGTAATTATCCCCTAACAGATCTGTGTAATTACCCCCTAACAGCATTGTGTAATTATCCCCTAACAGAACTGTGTAATTACCCCTAACAGCACTGTATAATTATCCCCAACAGATCTGTGTAATTATCCCCTAACAGAACTGTGTAATTACCCCTAACAGCATTGTGTAATTATCCCCTAACAGAACTGTATAATTATCCCCCCAGAGCACTGTGTAATTATCCCCTAACAGCACTGTATAATTATCCCCAACAGATCTGTGTAATTACCCCCTAACAGCACTGTGTAATTACCCCT